GGTTCCCAGTCTTCAGTTCTTGACTTCGGCGTACCTGCAGGCCCAATGCCATGTGGAGGCTGGCAAGGCTTGGGCTTGCACCTTCTGAAGCCACAACCTGAGCTGTACCTTGGCCCCTTTTAGCCATGGCTAGAGTTACTGGGACGCAGGGCACCAAGTCCCTAGGCTGCACACAGCAGGGGGGCCCTGGGCCCAGCCCATGAAACCACTTTTTCTTCCTCGGCCTCTGCGCCTATGATGGGAGAGGCTGTTGTAAAGACATTCGACATGCCCTAGAGACATTTTCCCCATTGTCTTGGGGATTAACATTCAGCTTTGTTTTTTGTGCACATTTCTGCAGCCAGCTTGAATTTCTCCTCAGAAAATAAGATTTTATTTTGTATCACATTTTCAGGCTGCAAATTTTTCTAACTCTTATGTTCTTCTTCCCTTATAAAACTGAATGCCTTTAACAGCACCTAAGTTACATCTTGAGTGCTTTTCTGCTGAGAAATGTCTTCCATCACATACCCTAAATCATCTCTCTCAAGTTCAAAGTTCTACAAATTTTTAGGGTGGAGCAAAATGCCACCAATTTCTTTGCTAAAACATAACAAAAGTTACCTTTGCTCCAGTTCCCAGCAAGTTCCTCATTTCCATCTGAGACCATCTCAGCCTGAGCCTTATTATCTATCTCACTATCAGCATTTTTGTCAAAGCCATTCAACATGTCTCCAGGAAGTTCTAGACTTTCTCACATTTTCCTATCTTCTTCTGAGGCCTCCAAGTTGTTCCAACCTCTGCCTGTTACCCAGGTCCAAAGTTGCTTTTACTTTTTCAAGTATCTTTCCAGCAACATACCACTCCTGGTACCAATTTACTGTGTTAGTCTGTTTTCATGCTGCTGATAATGGCATAGCCAAGGCTGGCCAATTTATAAAAGAAAGAGGTTTTTTGGACTTACAGTTCCACATGGCTAGGGAGGCCTCACAATCATGGAAGAAGGCAAAGAGGAACAAGTCACATCTTATGTCGATGGCAGCAGGCAAAGAGAATGATTGTGCAGGGAAACTCCGGTTTTTAAAACCATCAAATCTCATGAGACTCATTCACTATCATGAGAACAGCATGGGAAAGACCTGCCCCATAATTCAGTCATCTTTCACCAGGTCCTTTCCACAACACTTTGGAGTCATAGGAGATACAAGATGAGATTTGGGTGGGGACACAGAGCAGAACCATATCACCAGTGAGTTGTATTTTTATGCACTTCCTCTGGCGTACTTGCTCTGTTGGTTTTTCTCAGTCTTCTCTTTCATACTGTTATTTTTCCTCATGTGTCCTCAAATTTTTCTTTAATGTGGATGCTGCTCATCTATCTGACTGGAACATTACTTGAGTTATTATAATACCAAGAATGAATTCCCAGTAGTTTAATAGGTCTCTTTTCCTAGCAGACCCTTCCACTGAAGTTAAAAAATTTCTTGTGACCTCAGTTTTTAACATACACTATGTTATTAATATAATCATTTTCCAATGCCAAAAATTCTAACATACTACTTTTATTGGTTGGATAGTTTTTTATTGTAGTACTATTTACTCTTTCTCTTATTCTTGGATATTTGATTTTTTTCCAACTTTTCATTAAATAACATCAAGAACACATTTGTACATGTATTTCTTCATGTATCTCTGATAGTTTTCATAATGCTAATTCCTGGAGTACAATTTATAGATCATGAAAAGCTTTTAATAGGCATTGCTAAATTGTCTTTTGGAAGATTGTAGCAAGTCTGAGTCTCACATAAAAATACCTTTCCCCCCAGCACTCTGGATAATGGCAGATAAGGCTGTTTTTAATCTTTGCTAACTTAGTGATATACATATTGAATATGAATATTTTCCTGTTTGAATTTACATATTTGGATATTTTCATGAGTTTTCTTCTTTTGTGAATTTACTCTTTATGTCGTTTGCCTGTTTTTCTGTTCACCATTTTGTTTTGCTTTGTCAGACTTTATTTTGGGAATGTTAAGTCTTCATTATAAGTGCTGCAAGTTTTTCTCAGTTTGTGGTTTGCCTTTAACTTTTTCATTATGTGTCTTTTGCTAAATATGTGTTTTGATGCCATATATGTAAAGCTACCCACTCACCTGTTCAGAGATTAAATTTCATCTATATATAGCTTGGTATGTTTATGATTTCTAGTTTTACATTAAACTTTTTAATTCATGCACATTTATTTTGGAATATGGCTTGAATACACATCCTTGTTTTTTCTGAAATAACTAATTAGCTATTATCTTTTTCATTGACTAGTAGTCCATTCTTTCCCCACTAATTTGAAATCTCACTTTTGTCATATACCAACCATTTTATATAAATATGTCTGTGTATCTGCTTAAAAAGAACTTGCCCAGGCATATCTTACAATTCCTGACATTTCTAACAAGACCACTCTGTTACTTTACTGTTTTAGAAAGCACTTAAGTACAATACTTAATCTACTGTATTAAAACTGCATGCAGCCAGGCATAGTGGCTCATGCGTGTAATCTCAGTCCTTTGGGAGGCCGAGGCAGGAGGATCACTTGAACCCAGGAGTTCAAGACCAGCCCAGACAACATAGTGAGACCTTGCCTTTACAAAACATTTAAAAATTAGCTGGACATGGTGGCACATGCCAGTGGTCCCAGATATTCAGGAGACTGAGGTGGGTACTTGCTTGAGCCTGGTAGGTGGAGGCTGCAGTCAGCTATTGTCACGCCACTGCACTCCAGCCTGGGTAACAGCAAAATCCTGTCTCAAAAAAGAAAAAAAAACTGTATCCAGTGCTTATGTATTATCCTAATTTCTAATTTCTAAAAATTAAAGACCCACCCCTCCCAAATATTTCCTTCCTTCGTCAGAATGTTCTGTTATCAGCCAAAGATTTCTTTTTGTCAGCTCACAACCGGCCAGGAATAAAAGCAAACAGTGGCAAATAAGATGAAACATTGTGATTATGAAGAATTCTAAGTAGTTTTAGAGATATGAAAGTGTCATCATTATGTTTTGTGGTAGAGGAAAAGGAAATATTAGTAAAGTAAACATTGAAAATTGAGATAAATACCAGTATTTGAACTTTAAAAATGTGGCCAGAATGTCCTAAGGTAGCAACATTTCAGAAATTATGCTTTGTATTCATTGGTTTTTATTTTTGTTTTTATTTTTTTTGAGACAGAATCTCGCCCTGTCACCAGGCTGGAGTGCAATGGCATGATCTCAGCTCACTGTAACCTCCACGTCCTGGGTTCAAGCGATTCTCTTACCTCAGCCTCCTGAGTAGCTGGGACTATGGTGTATGTCACCATGCCCAGCTAATCTTTGTATTTTTAATAGAGGCGGGGTTTCACCATGTTGACCAGGCTGATCTTGAACTCCTGATTTCAAGTGATCCACCCACCTTGGCCTCCCAAAATGCTGGGATTACAGATGCGAACCACCTCACCTGGCCCACTGGTTTTTAAATGGATAAAATTGACAGGACTTTGAGTAAAACCTTTTTATTAACTCCATCATAGATGGAGTTAATTAAAGTTTCTCAATGCCGCTGGTTACTGGAACAGTTCTAAGGCTCTGCTCATGTATGGACATCACATTCCATCCCCCTGTCCTTATAGGGCTTCAGCAACACAGCTGGTTAACTGCAGTTTTACCGTGAATTTCTTAGGAAATGAAATATCCATTATGTTGCTGTAGGTCAAGTGTGAAGTATGTGTCCTATTTTGTGAACTATTGTACCCAAACCAAATCAATGAAGGGATTTTGCTAAGAAGTAGTTACCAGCATTCACAAAGCTGGCTAATGGGTGAAAAAACCTGGATTCTAACTTTTGCAAATAGCTGCATGACACTATTACCTAATGATTCCTTTTCTTTTTTTCAGTTCCTTTTGCATTATATAGGTGTTTTCCCAAATGTGTTCTGGAAGACATTATTGCTACAAGGTCCTCTGGAAGACATTTCAGGGACCGTGGTTAAAACAGTTAAAGAAAAACTGTGTACTGGATCCGTCTCTTAGAAATGCATCGGCTGGGTGCAGTGGTTCATTCCTGTAATCCCAGCACTTAGGGAGGCCAGGGTGGGCAGATCACTTGAGGCCAGGAGTTCAAGACTAGCCTGGCCAAAATGGTGAAACCCCATCTCTACTTTAAAAAAAAAAAAAAAATTAGCCGGATGTGGTGGTGCACGCCTGTAGTTCCAGTTACTTGGGAGGCTGAGGTTGGAGGTGAGCCCAGGAAGCAGAAGTCGTAGTGAGCAGACAGTGTGCCACTGCACTCCAGCCAGCGCACTGGGAGTGAAACCCTATCTCAAAAAAAAAGAGAGAAATGCACATTGTGTAGTTCCATGCTAAAGGCTCTAAGAAGCCTTACAGAAAAGAAATTTAAATCTTTTGGACCTATTTATTGACATCTGTATGAACTGTTTCATAAAATCCACTTTAGGAACCTGTATTAGCTGCTGTCCAAGGTATCAAACATCTAGCATCCTAGTTCCAGTAAAAACTTGTATATAAATAAATTGTGTCATATGTAGTACTTTAATTTCATATGTAGTACATTAATATCAGTATGGAATCCTTAAAGAAACACTGAGAAAAACTTTTAATTGTATAAGATCTTTGTACAACATCGTGGATTTTTAAGTGCAGAAACACAGAGAAGCATTGTTTCGCCCTGTGAATACCAGAACTTTGATTTGGATTTATTCGTGAAAAATAAGCAGGATCAAACATTTCCGCACTTTTTAGGAGTTCTGTGCAATACCTCAAATTCTATCCAGAATGTTCCTACAAAGTACAGCTTGATGTTAGACACTCTTTACATCCAAGTATTTTCTTTTGTTTAATGTAATTTCAGCTATTATTGGCTCAATATATAGATTCCTAGTGATCTTTTATATTTATTGTTCATAAAATAATGTTTGGCTTCCCAACAAGAAAGTTAAGAGGAAATTCAAGGTGTTTTCCTCTTGCTCATAGGATGGGTGCTGCAGACAATATATATAAAGGACGGAGTACATTTATGGAAGAACTGACTGACACAGCAGAAATAATCAGAAAAGCAACATCACAGTCCTTGGTTATCTTGGATGAATTGGGAAGAGGGACGAGCACCCATGATGGAATTGCTATTGCCTATGCTACACTTGAGTATTTCATCAGAGATGTAAGTATCCTGTAAACTGTATTTAAAAGAAATTAATTTTTAAATTATTATTTTTAAATGACCGTCATAATTGTATAGATACTGTTTTTTTGTGGTGAGACATTTGAAATTTATTTTCTTAGTTATTTTGAAATATATATTATTATTGACTATAGTCATGATACCATTATGCAATCCCTGAATACCCTTTTGTACATGGATGATACATTCTATACACCTTATTTCCCTGATTGCAATCTCCAAATACACAAAATTATCTTTTTTATAGTTGACTACAGCCCTGCAAGTGATCATTAGAATTCTACACACTGAATTCAGACAAACTGACCCTAAATGATGTTTGTAGTTGTTTGAAATATGTTCCTTTTTCTTGCTGATTCAACATAAATCTGGTTGTACGAAAAAGACCTCCCTGGCAATATTTTCATTCAGAATTGTATCTTATTATCCTTGGTCAACCCTAAATCAAGAACAGGTACCATCCATCTACAGCCAAATCCCTTGAGGGAAAAACAAGGAGACAGTGCCATTTCTACTTTGTGATATCCTTTTTTTTTTCACCAATATCCTGAAAGATCTCAGTGTGAGATCTTTGATTTCATCTCTTTGTGTCTCTATCTGAGTTAGTAACATCATTGCTTCCACGCATGTCTCCTTTTTTCAGGGTGCATTTCTAAACTTTAATGTGAAATTTTGTTTGTGTCAAACTTTTCCATCCCTGTCATTTCCATCGAATTCTCCCTTTTAGTTTACTTTCTCTGTCTTGTTCATTTTGGTCTCTGCCTTTCAAATCTCCTCATGGCACCTGCCCCTGAACCTTTCTCTTCTCTGGTCTTTCTTAGATGTTTTTCTCCCCTATTTTCTTGCTCCTTTATCATTGTGTCTTCCCCCATTTTCATTTTTCTCTCTTCCTTAAATAGCCAATAAAAGCAGATTTTTAATATTTCTTTTCAAAAAGCAACACAAACATAAAATTTCTTTTTCTTTAGCCTTTTGTTGCCCTTGGTGTTTTGGGGTTTGGTTTTGTTTTTAAAGCTTAATTTTCATTTAATTTTTTTCCAGAAGATAGTTTTTCTTCTGTCCCTAGAGACTCAGATTCATACATTGATGGAGATCATGGGGCAGCATCCTCAGATCTAAATTGGAGTGGGGTTGTTTTGTCCTCTAGACTTCATGAGAATGGTTCCTGACTACCTTGCTGTGAGTGGCATAACTCGTACAGTAATACGGTTTCACACACTGCTTGGGAAGCACATAGACATCAAAGACATTCAGTTTGGAAATGTCCCTGACATCTGTACCTTGTACTGTATTTCAAATGACAAACTTCTTAATGGCCTTATCCTAAGGTGTGTATCCAACACAGTTTGTGCAGCAAATAGGTTGCACCTAGCTATGGCCCTTTTAGGCACAACTGTTGTTGTTCTTCCTCCTCCTCCTCTTCTTTCTCCTCCTCATCCTCTGTTTTTTGTTCTTGTTTTTGTTTTGTTGTCATTGTTGTTTTTGAGACGGGTTCACTCTGTCACTCAGGCTGCGGTGCAGTGGCATGATCATGTCTCACTGCAGCCTCAACCTACCTAGGTCCAGGTGATCCTCCCACTTCAGGCTCCCGAATAGCTGGGACTACAGGCACAAACCAACCTTGCCCAGCTAATTTTTGTATTTTTTTAGAGACGGAGTTCCACCATGTTGCCCAGGCTAGTCTTGAACTCTTGGGCTTCCTCCAGTGATCTACCTGTCTTGGCTTCGCAAAGTTCTGGGATTATAGGCATGAGTTATTGTGCCCAGCATTCTTTCCTTTCTTTGTTATTTTGGCAGTGGAGACCCAAGAGAGACTCAGGTTTTTTTTAAACATTTGTTTAGATTCATAGGTAATTATGACACTTTTTTTTAGAAGGAATTTTTTGCTTTGCTTTAAAAAATTTATTTGCAAAAAGATTCAACTCAGGAACTTTAATCATTATAGAATCTACATTATAGAAACTAATAAACAAAAGTATATTCGTTTTTTATATTAACCTTGCATCCTGAAACATTCCTATAATTACTTACTAATTCTGGTCTGTGTGTATGTTTGTCAGTTCTTTTGAATTTCCTATATAGGCCGTCATGTCAGCTACAAACAGGCAGTTTGGCTTCTTTCTTCCCAATCTATTTTTTTTTCTCGTCTTACTGCACTAACTAGGATGTTCAGTACCAGTGTTGAAAAGGAGTAGTGAGAAAGGATATCCTTGCCTTGTTTATGATCTTAGTGGGAAAGCTTTGAGTTTCTCACCACTAAGTATGATGTTAGCTATAGGTTGTTTGTGGATGTTCCCTATCAAATTGAGGAAGTTCTCCTCTGTTCTTAGTTTACTGAGAATTTTTATCATGAATGGGTTTTAGGTTTTGTCACATGCTTTCTATGCATCTGTTGATATGATCGTATGATTTTTCTTCTTTAGCCATTTGTTGTGATGGATTACGTTAACTGGTGTTCAAATGTTGAATGAGTATTGCACACTTAGGATGAGTCCTACTTGGTTATGGTCTGTTTTTCTTTTTATACATTGTTGGGTTCATTTTGCTAATATTTTTTGAGGATTTTTGCATCTATGCTTCTGATGATATTGGCTTGTAGTTTTCTTATAATGTCTTTGTCTGGTTTTGGTATTCAGGTAATTCACAGAATGAGTTAGAAAGTATTTACTCCTCTCCTATCCTCTGAACAAAACTGTAGAGAATTGGTAAAATACCTTCCTTAAATGTTTGTTAGAATTCACCAGTGAAGCCATCTGGCCCTATGCTTTTTGTTTTTGGAAGGCCATTGATTCAGTTTCTTCAGTAGATAGACCTATTCAGATTTTCTGTTTTTTCTTGTGTGCAATTTGGCTGATTGTGTCTTTTAAGGAATCGTTTTTCAGGAAATTTTCACCAAGGTTACCAAATTTGTGGACATAGAGTTGGTCATAGTATTCCCTTATTATCCTTTTGATTGTCCATAGCATCCATAGTGTTGTCCTTTTCATTTCTGATATTAGCCATTTGTGTCTTTTCTCTTTTTTTCTTAGTTACCTTGGCTAGAAGCTTATCAGTTTTCAAAGAACCGGCATTTGGTTCTACTGATTGTTTTCCCCATTGCTTTCTTGTTTTAATTTCATTGATTTCTGCTCTAATTTTTATTCTCTTTTCTTTAGCTTATTTTTGTTCTTCTCTTTCTTGTATCCTAAAATGGAAGCTTAGATTGTTGATTTTAAATTTTTCTTTTCTAATGTGTTCAATGCTATAATTATTTTTTTCTTTTTCTTTCTTTTCTTTTCCTGTCTTTCCTTCCTCCCCTCCCCTTTTTTGAGACAGAGTCTTGGTCTGTTGCCTAGACTGGACTGCAGTGACATGAACATGGCCTACTGCAGCCTCGACCCCCTGGGCTCAAGTGATCCTCCTGCCTCAGACTCCCACATAGCTGAGACTGCAGGCACATGCCGCAACACCCAGCTAACTTTATTTTTACATTTTGCAGAGATGAGTGTCTCACTATGTTGCCCAGGCTGGTCTGGTATTCCTAGGCTCAAGTGATCCTCTCGCCTTGGCCTCCCAAAGTGGTGGGAGCCACCACTCCTGACCTATAAATGTTCTTCTATGCATTGTTTTTGCTGCATTCCACAAATTTTGATAAGGTGTGCTTCCTGTTTTTATTTAGTTCCAAATATTTTAAATTTCTCATTATTTCTTTTTTGACCCGTATGTTTTTTAAGAATGTGTTGTTTAGTCTCCATGTATTTGGGGATTTTCCAGTTACCTTTTTGTTATTGATTTCTAGTTTAATTCCATTGTGGTCTGAGATCAAATATTGCATGATTTTTATTACATTAAATTTGTCAACATGTGTTTCATGGCCCAGAATGTGGTCTTTCTTGGCGAATGTTCCATGTTATCTTGAGATGAATGTGTATTCAACTGTTGGATGAAGTACCTATAGATATAAATGATGTCTAGTTGATTGATGGTGGTGTTGAGTTCAACTATGTCTTTACTGATTTTCTGCCTGCTGAATCTGTCTGTTTCAGATGGAATAATTTTGATGTCTCTAACTATAGTAATATATTCATCTGTTTCTCTTCGCAGTTCTATCAGCTTTTGCCTCATGTAGGTTGACATTCTCTTGTTAGATGCATACATGTTAAGGATATTATGCCTTCTTGGAGAATTCATCCCTTTATCATTATATAATATCCTTCTTTACCCCTGACAAATTTACTTGCTCTGAAGTCTGCTCTGTCTCAAATTATTGTAGCTACTCCAGCCTTCTTTAGAAATTAATATAGCTGCTTCAGCTTTCTTTAATGTTAACATGATATATCTTCCTCATATATATATGTGCATGTGTGCATATATATATATATCACATATATATATATATATCACACACACACATATATATATATATATATATATATATATATATATATATATATGTGATCTTCGCACCTCAAGTGATCTTCCCACCTCAGCCTCCCAAGTAGCAGGGAGTACAGGTGCATGGCACTGTGCCCAGCTGTTTTCTCCCCTTTCCTAGCATGTCTGTTATATTTCTTGTTTTACTTTTTCTAGTGGTTGCCCTAGATTTTGCAAATATACTTTTACAATTAATCCAAGTCCACTTTCAAATAACACTGTACTGCTTTATGAGTAATGCACATATTTTTAATAACAAAATAACCCTGATTACATTCTTCCATCCTTTGTACCATCACTGTCATTCTTTTCACTTATACATAAGTGTACATAAGCATATGTATACATAGACATATATAATATAATCACATGTACTATTGCTACTATTATTTTGAACAAAATGTTATGTTAGATCCATTCAAAATAAGAAAAATAAGTTTTTTTGCTTTCACCGATTCCTTCTTCAGTGCTGCACTTTTCTTTATGTAGATACAAGTTTCTGACCCCTATCATTTTCCTTCCTTCTAAAGAACTTTTCTTAAACATTTCAGGATGGATCTGCTGGCTACAAATGCTCAATTTTTGTTTGTCTGAGAATGTCTTTATTTCTTCTTCACTTTTGAAGGATTATTTTGCAAGGTACAGAATTCTAGGTTGGTGAGGTTTTTTGTTTGTTTGTTTTAATTTTATGTCTGCCGGGCGCGGTGGCTCAAGCCTGTAATCCCAGCACTTTGGGAGACCGAGGCGGGTAGATCACGAGGTCAAGAGATCGAGACCATCCTGGTCAACACGGTGAAACCCCGTCTCTACTAAAAATACAAAAAATTAGCTGGGCATGGTGGCACGTGCCTGTCATCCCAGCTACTGAGGAGGCTGAGGCAGGAGAATTGCCTGAACCCAGGAGGCGGAGGTTGCGGTGAGCCGAGATCGCGCCATTGCACTCCAGCCTGGGTAACATGAGTGAAACTCCGTCTCAAAAAAATAAAAAAAATAAAAAAAATAAATAAATAAAAATTTTTATGTCAGTTTTTCTTGCTTGTGTGGTTCCTAAGAAGTCAGATGTAATTTTTATCTTTGAGCTTGTGTGGATAAAGTGTTTCTTCCCTCTGGCTTCAGTATTTTTTTTTTCTTTATCTTTGGTTTTCTGTAGTTTGAATATGATTTGTCTAGGTGTGGTTTTGGAGACATTTACTGTTTGGCATTCCCTGAGCTTCCTAGACCTGTGGTTTTGTGTCTGACATTAATTTGGGGAAATTCTCAGTCATTATTGTTTTAAATATTTCTTCTGTTTCTTTTTCTCTTTATTTTCTTTCTGGTGTTCTCATTAGCTGTATGTTATATCTTTTGTAGTTGCCCCAAACTTCCTGGATATTCTGTTTTTTTCTAGTCTTTTTCTCTTTGCATTTCCATTTTGGAGGTTTCTATTAAGATGTCCTCAAGCTCAGAGATTCTTTCCTCAGCTGTGTCCAGTCTACCAGTAAGCTCATCAAACACATTCTTCATTTCCATCACAGCGTTTTTGATCTCTGGTGTTTCCTTTTGAATTTTTTCTTAGAATATGCATCTCTGTGCTTACATTGCCCATCTGTTCTTGCATGCTGTCTGTGTTATCCATAGAGCCCTTAGCACACTCATCAGTTGCTTCCAATTCCCAGTCTGATAATTCCAACATCCCTGCCATAGCTATGTCTGGTTCTGATGTTTGCTCTGTCTCTTCACATTTGTGGGCTTTTACTTTTAGTATGTCCCATGACTTTTTCTTGACAGCTGGCCATGATGTGTTGGATAAAAGGCACTGCTGTAAATTAGCTTTTAGTAATGTGGTGGTAAGGACTAGGGGAGGAGTCCTATGATTAAGTCTCAGTCTTACCTCCCTCCCACCCCTCAGGTGGGATAGGAAGGCTAGAGTGGGCTGGAGTTGGGTATTTCCCCTCTCCTATGTGATAGGCTAGAGGAGGCTGGAGTTGAGTCTTTCCCTCCCCCCAGGTAGGTTAGGCTCTGATAAAACCCCAGCAGGTTAGGCTCTGCTTAAGTAGTTTCTTCTGAGGTTAGGCCTTGTTAAGAACAGAGTGCCCTGGTGCATTTCAAAATAGTTCTTTCTTTCTTCCCTTGCCTGAAGCATAAGCGGAATTTACTCCAATGTTTATTGTGAGAACCAAGTGGAACTCTTGGGAGTAAAACTCACAAAAGTGTGCCCCTTTCCCCCATGACTCGGTTCCCCTGGACTTTTTGACTCTCAGACTTGTTGACACTGAGCCTCCAGCAATTGATCAGTTCCACTTCCAGTTTTCCTACCCTGATACTGATTTCCTCAGAGGCTTTGCCTGTGTTTTAGCTCAGGAAAGTTGTGATTCTTTGTATCTGCTTGTCTGTCTCTAATTTGGGGGGCGGTGGTTTGCCTGTGACTTCATTTCTCTTCCAGATCTAAGAAGAGTTGTTGATTTTTCAGTTTGTTCTGCTTTTTCCTTGTGATGGAGAGGCAACCTCCAAGCTTAGACTGGAGACAAGAAACCTCCCTGACCTTTTTATGGGTGAAAATCTTTATTTTCATGGTTCTTTCTGATCTTTGGATAGGGAAGAGAGATTAGAGAGGGATCAGTAAGGGAGGTCATGTGTTGCTGCTGCAGGTATAGAACAGCCTTAAGGAGCGCAGTGTTTGATTCCAGACCCTTAGGTCTTCCAGCTTGTCAGCTCAAGGAGGAGCACCAGGGAGATAAGTGGTCCTAAGATCCCTCAGGGCAGATTTTAAGCACAGCTTCTTAAAGAAATCCTGCCTTAATAGGTTTCTTTGTCATTGTTATCAGAAGAAGGCAGACTTTTAATAAGGTGAATGGCCTTTGAATCAAAACTGGAGTACCTCCTTCTGCCAATATTTAGGCTAAGATTGGTATTAACTTTCCTTTAGTTAGGGATTTCTAGAATACATAAAATGTGCTTTAAAATAATGCTTATTAAAGAATCCATGAGACTGGGTGCAGTGACTCACGCCTATAATCTCAGCACTTTAGGAGGCTGAAGCAGAAGGACCACTTGAGCCCAGGTTCAAGACCAGCCTAGGCAACATAGTCAGACCCCTCTCTACAAAAATAAAAATAAAAATAAAAAACTAGCCGGACATAGTGGCACACACCTGTAGTCCTAACTACTTGGGAAATTGAGGTGGGAGGATCCCTTGAATCTAGGAGTTTGAAGTTACGGTAAGCTATGATTGTGCATTGCAGTCTAGCATGAATAACAGAGTGAGACCCTGTCTCTAAAGAAAAACAAATTTGTTAATAAAGAATTCATATTGACACTAACAAAAATAAATTTTAAAATGGTGGAGGTGAGTGGGGAGAAGTGAAAGCTCTGCTTTACAGAATGCCAACGAATAAATGTAGGAAGAACTTTTTAATCAACATTTAATAATCACTATAATAATAACTGATTCAGGCAGTGATGATCAATAGATTATAAAACCTGTGATGAAAGATTGTTGAAGAAAAGGATATTCATATATCTTAAACTATCATGCCACAGGTTATTTATTAATTACAAAGGGAAGAGGTATAGTGAAGGAATCTGGTGGGCACCCACTTCAACCAGATAACCAAATTCAGCATCCCCAGTTATGGGTGAAATTGACATCATGTGCCTCCTGATATGATGCGCTGGGAATGAACCATCACCTACATATACATGGAATATTCCTGGTGTTGACAAAAAGAGTCAAACTCTGTAAAATATTTGAAGAGATTTATTCTGAGCCAAATATGAGTGACCATAGTCCATGACACAGCCCTCAGGAGGTCCTGAGAATATGTGCCCAAAGTGATCAGGGTGGAGCTTGGTTTTATATATTTTAGAGAGGCATGAGACATCAATCAAATACATTTAAGAAATACATGGGTTTGGTTCAGCAAGGCAGAACAACTCAAAATGGCGGGGGAGGGGAGGACGGGTTTCTAGGCTATTGGTAAATTTAAACATTTTCTGGTTGGCAATTAGCTGAATTTATCTGAAGATCTGGGATTAATGGGAAGGAATGTTCAGGTTAAGATAAAGGATTGTGCAGTGTTATTGTGCAGAGGAATCTCTCAGATAGCAGACTTCAGAGAGAGTAGGTTGTAAAATGTTTCTTATCTGACTTAAAAGGGTGCCTGGCTCTTAGTTGATTACCTCGTGGATCTGGTAAGGAAGGAAAACAAAAGGGGAAGGGGACTCTTTATAGAATGTGGATTTTTCCCACAAGAGACTTAGCAGGGCAATTTCAAGGCATGGCAAGGAAATATATTTTGGGCTTAAATATTTTCTCCTTGTCTCATAATGTTATGCCAGAGTCATACTGAAAAGCACGTCACAGTATACACCTTCCAATAACACCCATCTGATAAGAATCCATGGTTTGCAGGGCATGACTCCTCAAACCCCTTAGGCAGTAATTTGGACAAGATGAAAAATCAGAGCTTAGTCCTTGGACTTCACTGGCAGTGATGTCTGGAGGAAATAGGGAAGTCCAAATTGAAAGATATTATGCAAAACAGCATAAGTGCCCCCTCCATCCACACTCTATTCCTGTACAAAAGGATACTTTGTATTTCAAAAATGTCCATGTCATGAAAGACAAAAAAGGAAAGAGAAAAAAAGAAACATTGTTGTGATACTTAGGGAAATTTAGGAACTATGTCTATAATAGTAATATATTTCTTGAGTGTAATAATTGTATTCTAGTTAAATAGGAGGATGTTTTGTTCTTAGAAGATAGAATCTTAAATATTTAGAGATGAAGTATAATATCTGCAACTAATTCTTAGATGGTTCAGGAAAAAAACATCTCTGTGGAGTGGGGGGAAGAAGAAGGGGAATATGGCAAAATATTAACAATTGATTATCTGGATAAAGAGAATATAATGGTTGGTCATTGTACTTTACTTGTGACTTTTAGGAAGGTTTAAAATTTTTCAAAAGAAAGTTGAAGACAGATTTTAATTAAAATAAAATTTCAAAATGAGATAACATTTATTCTGTCTTATTGCTTTAGGTGAAATCCTTAACCCTGTTTGTCACCCATTATCCGCCAGTTTGTGAACTAGAAAAAAATTACTCACACCAGGTGGGTAATTACCACATGGGCTTCTTGGTCAGTGAGGATGAAAGCAGACTGCCTCCAGGTATGAAATATTCCTGCAGTTGGCACAAATATTGGTTTTCATGTTTGATAACTCAAAGTTTGTTGGAATATGAACTTACTGCTTATTAATAATGAAAGCTGTGAACGTGAGCTATAAATAACATTTGTCAAGATTCATTTTCACTAAGCTTTAGGTCAAGTAGAATTTACATTTATCCTTGCTGTCTCTGAGTCCCTCTCTGGTCTTCCTTGTCTCATTTGTCGTGGCAACCCTTTTCTCTTTTTTTATAGGAATAGGGTGTGGGTGGAGGGGGCACTTAGGTTTTCCTCTTACTGTCTTATACTCTTACATGATTCATCTCAATAAGGATGACAGTCAATTGCAGAGTATAATTAGTCATCTTTTTAAAATGCTCAATATTTTCTCCAAAATATCATAACTTACTAAGGGCCATATACTATACTGGACATGGGTTTTTATTTTAATATTACAAGGAAACTGAATCTCAGACAGGTAAAGCGGTTTGACCATGTCAGCCACTTAGATGGGAGCTAAAAAGAGCCTAGCATTCACTTCTGCTTCTGGGTTCTCATTTGTTCTCCGCTGCCAGAGCTGCTATGGGGAAAATCTACAATATTTTTCCTGGTCTTTCCAGTTACTAGTGTCACCGAAATGGGACATTTTATGAAAAAGAACACCGTTATCCAATAGCAATAAATTTAAGAGCAGTAGGTAATATAGTAGACTTTAGCATTTTTTTTCTGTTCAGTAGTAATTGTTTTAAGCTACCAGCCTGTAGGCCTGTGTTGGTTTATGCAGTTGGTATGCTACAATGGAAAATCCATCATGCAAGATACTCCAGAGTCCAAATTTTATTTTGGAAAAGTAATAAGGATGGACCTGAAAAAGAAATCAGGCAACTGGCCCAAATTAAAGCACTGGGCTTAAGATAAATGTAATGTTAGGCAGTTCCTGCCTTTCACCACCATGCAGTCTTGGAAAACACATCATAAATTCTCTCATGGAAGTAGTTTTGTATCTATTAATCTGCTTCCAGAGTGACAAGAGGAGACTTGAGCTAAAACCCTTGGGACAAAGAGAATAGAGTTCACCAGCAGGGAAGAGGAGGAGTCAGCGCTGCTAATAAGCATTTGATGTGAACTAAAAACTAACCCAGAGCATTGTACCTTTCCCTTAAGTGTTCTGGGCATTTTATTTTATTTATTTTATTTTTTTTGAGATGGGGCCTCACTGTCATCCAGGCTGGAAAGCAGTGGCCCGATCACAGCTCACTACAGCCTCAACCTCCCGGGCCCAGGTGATCCTCCCACATCAGCCTTCCTGGTAGTTGGGACTACAGGCATACACTACCACACCTGGCTGATTTTTGTATTTTCTGCAGAGGCGGGCCCTTACTGTGTTGCCCAGGCTGGTCTCAAACTCTTGAACTCAAGCGATCCTCCTGCCTTGGCCTCCCAAAGTGCTGGGGTTACAGGATGCTGTAATACCTTGCCTAGCTGATTTTAATTTTTATCAATGAACATAATGTTTAAAATTCAGTGGTACTAAAAGGCTCCTGCTGACAAGCTTCCATCCTTTCAGTTCATGTCCTTCCCCATCCTAGACCCAACCAAGGCAACTACTTTCAACGCTTTTCTCCATTTCTGTTGTATTTCTGAGTAATATGCATATTTTACTGTCTCGTGATTCATCAGATTGACACATTATTGATGAACCTCTCATTGTGTTAGTTGAGAACCTTCAGTTTTCCCGTCCTCTGTCCTTCTAGTATAGCCATTTCACGTGTATTGTATGTCATTCATATTTGTTGTTTTCATTATTATTGTCATGTTAAGTATTGCTTACTTGAGCCAAGTATGGAGACAAGTGCATTTTTTTGTTTTACAACATTTTCTATTTTCTCAAAAATAAGAATTGACTGTTCTTATTTTTTCATTCTGTTTTGTTTTGTTTCTGAGTCTGTAGCTGAATCTTCCCGTACCCTCCAGTAGCTTTGTAAAATGCCTCTCTAGATGTTTTTCCATACAGCTGAACCTACTGGTTCCCATTTGTCCCACTGGGGCCCTTCCACCTGGAGCCCTTTGTCCTTCTGGTCATCTGAACTGGCTGCTGTCTGGGCCTGCTGCACAGCTGTCATCCTTGCCGACATCCTAGGAATTCCGTTACCCCTCTTCTGAGCATGCGATTGCAAGGAACAAAACACTCAATCTCACACTGGCTCAGACAACGAGGATGTAGTATATATAATCCCATGTTCCATGAACTCCAGAGAAAGAGTGGGCTTCAGCTCCTCCTTTTTACAATTCCCAGGCTCTGTCTTCCTGCCTGACAAGCTTTATCATTAGGCTAGTGACAATGGCTGCAGTTCTTCCTGGCATCATGTACAGGATGTCCAAAGGGAGAAAAGAGATCAGCATTTCCTGATAACTCTTTCTTGGAATAAGGGAACTTTTTCTCAGATGCCTTCCAGTATTTCATGATTGCCTCATCCCATTTTCAGAATTGAGTAACGGGCTCCTTCTTAAAACTCTCCTTAGCAGAGGATGGCAGGGGTGATTTTGATGGGCCTAGATGAATCAGGATCAACTTCTGGAGCTGGCATTGAATACCCAGTCCCCTGAGTTAACTGATTAGCGAGTTAATTCCTTTTAAAATTAGGGTTTTCTTAGGGGTGGAATAAATGTTGAATAGGCTACTACTAATATCAACTAAAGGAGGTAAAAGTTTTCAGATTTTTCATGAATGAAAATGTCTCACATGCTTGTTGGCCACATGTACGTCTTCTTTAGAAAAGTATCTGTTGATGTCCTTTGCCTACTTTTTAATGGCTTTGGTTTTTTCTTAAAATGTATATAAGTTCCTTATAGATGCTAAGTATTAAACCTTTGTCAGATCCATTGTTTGCAAACATTTTCTCCCATTCTGCAGGTTGCCTTTTTACCATGTTCGTAGTTTCTTTTGCTGTGCAAAAGCTCTTTAGTTTAATTATGTCCCATGTATCAGTTTTTCCTTTTGTTGCCATTGCTTTTAGCCTCTTAGTCATAAAATATTTTCCCATTCCTATGTCTAGAATGATAAAAGCTCAACATGACTCATCATTAGAGAAATTAAAATAAAAACCACAATGAGATACCATCTCACACCAGTCAGAATGGCTATTATTAAAAACTCAAAAAATAACAGGTGCTGGTGAGGTGGTAGAGAAAAAGGAACACTTATACATTATTGGTGGGAGTGTAAATTAGTTCAACCATTATGGAAAACAGTCTTCCTCAAAGACCTAACAACAGAATTACCATTCAACCTAGCAATCCTATTACTGGGTATATACCCAAAGAAATGTAAATCATTGTATCATAAAGACACATGCACACGTATGTTCGTTTCAGCACTACTCACAGTAGCAGGACATAGAATCAACCTAAATTACCATCAGTGGTAGACTAGTTAAAGAAAATATGGTACAAATACAACATGGAATACTATCCAGCCTTAAAAAAAGAATAAGATCATGTCCTTTGCAGGAATATGGTTGGAACTGGAGGCCATTTTCCTTAGCAAACTACTGCAGGAACAGAAAACAAAGTGTCACATGTTTTCACTTATAAGTAGGAGCTAAATAATGGGAATACATGCACAAGAGAGGGAAACCACACACACTGGGGCCTACTAGAGGGTGCAGAGTAGTAGGAGGGAGGGGATCAGGAAAAATAACTATTGGGTACTAGGCTTAATACCTGGGTAATTAATCAGTACAGCAAACGCCATGACACAAGTTTACCTGCACATGTACCCCTGAACTTAAAAGTTAAAAAGGCTTAATACCTGGGTGATTAATCAGTACAGCAAACCCCCGTGACACAAGTTTACCTGCACGTGTACCCCTGAACTTAAAAGTTAAAAAAAAAAAAAAAAAAAAGAAATCTCTAGAGCTTCCATGTTCGAATTTATAGTTCAGCCAGGATTAGAACTTTGGATTGAAAACCATTTTCAGTCAGAATTTTGAAGCAGTGCTCCACTGCCTGCCGCCTTCCAGTATTATTCCTGGCTATATCTGTGTTTCATTCATTATCTCTCCCCCAACTTCTCTTCTGTGGAAGTTAGAGGCCATTGCATAGGTCATCAATAAAATGCCCCACAAGTCTTTTGGATGGCTTCTAAGATACTCTGTCTAATTCCCATAATGTGATAGGTAAAATCATGGACAAACAGAGAAGAAACCTGTGTATTAGTCTATTCCAATCTGTATGATCTTGGACAAGTCACCTAATTTCACTCAACCCTAAATTTTTGTGAATGTGCTCTGAAAGCAATTTCAGAAATTATTTGTCAACACGCATCTCTTTAAGAACTGCTTGGCCGGGCGCGGTGGCTTAAGCCTGTAATCCCAGCACTTTGGGAGGCCGAGGCGGGTGGATCACGAGGTCAAGAGATCGAGACCATCCTGGTCAACATGGTGAAACCCTGCCTCTACTAAAACTACAAAA